AAGCCCTTTTATCCTAATGGTCTAGTGGTTGGGATTCTGACATGGTATCAGAGTGGTCTCGGGTTCGAATCCCGGTGTATGCACATGTAGGCTGGTGCCGCTGTGCTTAGTCCTAGGCCGCCCAGTTGGGGGGGTGTCAGTAGATCTGCACTGTGGATGCCCGATTGATCCTGGAGAGGGGTTACAGGCGCGTTCGCCTGGGGGGTTATGGGCGCACTGACCCGCTACTTGAAATAAGCCCTTTTATCCCAATGGTCTAGTGGTTGGGATTCTGACAATTTCACGGACCAATGGCACCACTGTCGCCGAACCTCGAAGCAGCACGACCGAGGCTCCCAGAGGCGTTCGATCCAAGCGCGAAGGGATCCGACGGTCCGGCGATTCGTGGCCACCCTCGAAATTTACTTCGAGACCATTGGCTGTTCGACCCCACAACACGACGCAGCAAGGATTCGGCTCGCAGCGACACTGTTACGTGGACCGGCTCTCGAATGGATTTACTACACCGACGTAGCACGCGGGGAGAAAACGTGGCAGCAGTTTCGGGCAGATTTTGAGAAAACTGAAACGAGAATGAATGAACTATGAATGAACTGAGTACAAGTACTAACTCTAATTGGGTTGTACCCCTTATGGGCTACCCCACTATAGCCTACACAATAAGCACAAGCTATATGTTCTGACACACCCCCATAGGCAAAGTGGGGGAGAACAAGGGGTCACAAGACCAGTCAAACAAAGTAAAGCAAAGCAAGCTCAGGGTGCATCACAAAGTCACCACACATTCCGAGCACAAGTTCAAGGTCACAAGGCCAGTTCACATGCAGGAGTACATATATATAAAGGACTAGACAAGCAAGAGCAGGTGTATATATATGCAACAGTACAAGCAAGGTCAAGAGGTAAGTAAGTGAGGCAAGACAGGCACAAGACCCTGCTGCGTGCAGAAGCGCTGATGATCACAAGGCGCAAGTGCCTTGGTGAAGACATCAGCAGTGTTGGCCTCAGAGGCCACGAAGGCAAGCCGCAACTGACCACGCTGCTGTAGCTCACGAGCAAGAAAGTAGCGAAGAGCAATGTGCTTTATTCTGTGCTCCAGTCTCTGCTCTCGACACAAGGCCAGCATGGCCTTGTTGTCTACGTACAGGAGTGGAGGAGAACGAGGCGACTCTCCAAGGTCGGTTAGCACGTAGGTGAGCCAGCGAAGCTCCTGTGCAGCCATGGCCCCGGCGTAGATCTCAGCCTCACAACTGGAGCCGAGAACAGAAGACGAGCGAGTAGCCCGCCACGAAACAGAGCCGGAACCAAGGCTGAAGGTGTAGCCCTGTGACGACCGCTGCGTAGCCTGGTCATCAGCCCAAGAAGCGTCCGCGTGCCCAGTAAGGACCACTGGACTTCCGCCCTCCAAGCACTAGCCCCATGCCCGACGTACTGCACAAGTAGCGCAACACCCTCTTCGCTGCAGCCATGTGCTCTGGTCGATGTCTCCCAGGAGCAACATAGCGTGCAAGAATGCTAAGAGGGTATGCAAGGTCAGGTCGTGTGCAGGTCATCAGGTACATGAGACAGCCAACAAGCTCTGGGTACGGGCCACTCGACTCTACGGACTCATCCGAAGGCAGAGCTGAGAGCGAGTGGCGAGTAGACAGAGGAGTGGCCTGAGGCGAGGAGTACGTGAAGCCGAAGCGCTGAAGGACCTGCTGCACCATGTGTGACTGAGTCAGAGTAATGGTGCGCTGTGCTCTATCCCGGGTGATCTGCAAGCCAAGGTAGCTGCGCAGTTCACCCAGGTCAGTGCACGTGTGTCTCTTCTGCAGCTCGGACTTCACGTAGGCGAGTCTAGCAGTGTCAGCTGTGGCAAAGACCAAATCGTCGACGTACACGAGGATGTAGAACGGCGACAGAGAGGTGTCGGTGCGCAGAAAAAGCGACGGGTCGGCAGTAGAAGGAGCAAACCCAAGAGCCGCAAGCGTAGTCCTCAGTGTGTCGTGCCACTCACGTGGCGCCTGGCGGAGACCGTAGACTGGACGCCGGAGACTCCACTGAGTACCAGGAGGGAAAGACCCAGTGAAGCCAGGTGGGCGGCACAGCCAGATCTCCTCGTGCAGGCTGCCCTGCAAGAAAGCTGTGCTGAAGTCAAGAGAGTGCAGCTCGTAGTCACGGTGAGCAGCAACGTGCAGCAGTACCCGAAGAGTGGTCATCTTCGGGGTGGGAGAGAAGGTCTGAAAGTAGTCAACTCCCTGTCGCTGACTGAAGCCACGAGCCACGTAACGCGCCTTGAAGACAGGCGGAGAACCCGGCGGCCGCTTCACCCTGAAGATCCACATGCCACTGACGATGTTCGCCCCAGGAGGGGGGACAGCGTCAACGTAGGTGCATTTGGACTTTCAGGAAGCCATCTCTGCATCCATAGCTGCCTGCCACTGAGAGGAGTAGGGACCCTCTATCGCCTCCGCGTAAGAGCGCGGAGTTGGGATGTCAAGTGCATCCGGGTCTCCCTCAGGGGTAAGCAGTACAGACACGAGATGAGGTGAAGCAGCTGCCAAGCACTGGAACTCCTCCTGCCTGTCCTCAAGGACGTCCGTGCCAAGGGCACACTCACCCCCGACGGACGCAGGACAGACAGACCCAGACTCAGCGACAAGACTAGCAGCGTAGTCTAGGCGACAGCGAGCAGCAAAGTCGACGAGCTCAGCAACTAAGGCAGACGCAGCAGTGGACTCGAAGGAAGGGTCAGTGACGACAGTAGCCAGGAGACGCGTGACAGTAGGACTGGCAGCACAAAGAGAGTCCGACTCCGGGTCGGCAAAAGCAGGAAGAGAGGACCCAGGAGGACAAGGCAAAGAGGCACGCAGAGGAGTAGTGGACGGACGCAGAGACATCCGGTGCGTGCCAGGGACAGGAGGAGGACGCTGACGCGAACCACGACCACTAGCGCGAGCAGCACGGACAGGCGACGCAGGGCAAGACGCAGGCTCAGGACGCTCAGCAAGACCTCCAGTAGGACCTGTGTAGGGAGAAGGAGCAGGCAAAGGGGAGGTAGGCTGCAACTGTAATTGTGACGGGACTGGCTGTGAACACTCTAAAGAAGGAGGAGGACCAGTAGAAGGCTGAAGACCAAGAACCTGCTGCAGAAGTGGAACGAAGTACGGTCGAGGCCGCGCAGCGACCCCAGACACAGTAGGTACAGCACCAGCACCCCCAGCAGGAGCACCCGCTCCACCTGCACCTCCAGTAGCGCCAGAACCTCCAGCAGTACCAGGAGTACCCGCAGCAGGACCGCCAGCAGTAGTCTCAGCTCCAACACCCTCAGCAGCACCAGCTCCAGTCGAACCCGCAGGCCCAGCAGCTCCAGTACTCCCAGTACGAGCACCTCCGGGACCCGCGACAGCAGCACCCTCAGTAGCCGAAGAACCTCCAGCACCAGCAGCACGCCTCCAGCGCCGGGCAAACCACTCGCGCAGCTCCCGTGGAGAGAGTGGCTCCCGCAGAGACGAAGCACCCGGAGAACCCCCAGGCGGAGCACCTCCAAGCTCTGCACCCCCAGGCTCAGCACCCCCAGGCTCAGTACCCCCAGGCTCAGTAACCCCAGGCGCAGTACCCTCAGACTGAGCACCCCCAGGCTCAGCACCCCCAGGCTCAGCACCCCCAGGCTCAGCACCCCCAGGCTCAGCACCCCCAGGCTCAGCACCCCCAGTCGCAGCACCCCCAGGCTCAGCACCCTCAGCCGCACCAGAGTCACCAGTGACCTCGACAGGCTCGACTGCGTCTTCCTGGGACACACCTGAAGGGGACGGACCCTGAGGGGGGAGGGGGTCTACCGGAGGGGGACCTGGTACAAGGAAGAGCGGCGACGAGGGGAGGGACGGAGTGCGGTAGGGGAAGAGGCGGTAGTAGGGGACCGACTCGTCAAACGTGACGTCCTGGGAGGACAGAACACGGCGAGAGGTGGGGTGGTAGAACTGCCACCCAGGCGCGTCAGGGGGGAACCCTAGGAAGATGCAAGGAGCAGCACGAGGGGACAGCTTGTTCGCAGACAAGTCGCGGACAAACGCCCGAGATCCCCAGACCCGGAACGCCGACGCATCGCCAACCTTCCCCGTCCACAGCAAGGCTGGGGAGGTCTCCGGCCTGGAGACCCTGGGGTGTAGGTTGATCTGATGCGCCGTGTCAAACATTATATGTTTATGTGGTTCTAGGCTGTAGTGGGTTACACCTTAGGGGGTACACCAGATTAGGGTTTCATATTTGTACTCTTGTTCCTGCTAGTCACATCATTCTCGTTTCTCATTCTGACATGGTATAACGAGCCTAGGTTTCACCTAGGACCGAAACGTTAGGGCCCACCGTTTCCGCTAGCCGCGCCCTAGTGCGCCGCCTTTTCCTAGCGCCCTCGTGCGCCTCGTTCCTCGCGTCGCCCTTTAAGGCCCCTCACGGCCCCTCGCGTCGCCCCTTAAGGCCTCTCACGCCCCCCCCCCCTTACGACCCCGCGCTAGCCCCGAACGGCCCCGTGCGGCCCCCGCGCTAGCCTCCCCCGGCCCCTTACGGCCCCGCGCTAGCCTCCTACGGCCCCGAACGGCCCCGCGCTAGCCCCGAACGGCCCCTTCCGGCCCTCGCGCTAGCCTCTCACGGCCCCTTAAGGCCCTGCGCTAGCCTCTCACGGCCCCCGAATGGCCCCGCACTAGCCCCGAACGGCCTCCGAACGGCCCCCGCGCTCGCCTCGTACGTCCCCCCCCCCCGCGCTCGCCTCGAACGGCCCCCCGCGCTCGCCCCTCTACGACCGAGCCGCGCAGCGCGACCCCAGCTGAACCGCGCGACCCGAGCCGAACCGCGCGACCCGACCGAGCCGCGCCGCCCTAGCCGAGCCGCGCTGCCCTAGCCGAGCCGCGCCGTCCTAGCCGAGCTGCGCCCTCCTTACCTGAGCAGCAGGGCCAGTACTGGACTGAACTGCTCCTACTACTACTGCTACTGCTACTGCTACTGCTGCTGCTACTTCAGCTATGGCTAGCCCTACAGTTCTCTCGTTCCATGCTGAGGGCCGCCCGATTAAGTTTGAGATCTGGCTCGATGATCTGCACCTGTTCCTCCAGCTCAGTGCGAGAGAGGATGTCTCGCTGTACGATCATGCACTAGGCAAAGCTGCTGCCCCTGCTACTGATGCTGACGCCACTACCCGCTCCCAGTGGCAGACTCGTGACGCCCACGCTTGCTTCGCTATTCGCAACTCCCTGCCTGTAGATGAGCGCGAGCACTTCGGCAAACACAGGACTGCCCAGGCACTGTACACTGCTGTAGTTGCGCGCTACTCCTCCCCAGCCTCTGCTGCGCTAGGCCGTCTCTCACTTCCCTACCTGTTCCCTGACCTGTCCGCCTTCCAGACAGTCGCTGACCTCATCACGCACCTCCGCACTAGTGAGGCCCGCTTCCGTGCCGCTATGCCTGCTGAGTTTCTTGCCTTCAACCCTCCCCGCTCTGGCTCACTCTCTACCACCTAGTTACCCGCCTCCTTGACACTCTGCGTACAGTCAGGGACAGCTTCCTAGCCCGCTGCCCCACTGAGCTCACCATTGCCACCCTCGAGAAGGAACTCCTTGCAGTTGAGAAGAGTATTGTAGCTGTAGGTGCCTCTCGTGGTGACCCCCGCACCCCTTTCTTGGAGGGGTGTTCCCCCTCCCCCCTGCTCCCCTCTGTCGCCTCTGCTGCTGCTGTCGACCTCCTTGGTGCTGAGCAGGTTGGGTCTGCGTCCGCTCCCAGCGGGCGCCGCAGCGGCAGGGGCAGGGGAGGCAAGGGCGGTGGGGGTGATGGCGGGGGAGGCGGTGGTGGGGGTGGTGGCGGCGGTGGGGGCGGTGGCGGGGCTGGAGGGACTAGTGGCAGCGGTGGGGGTGGTGGAGGCAGCTGCGGCGGCGGTGGCCGGGGTGGGGGCGGTGGTGGTGGCGGCGGAGGACGTGGCGGCGGCAGGGGCGGTGGTGGTCGTGGTGGCGGCGGCGGTGGTGGTCGTGGAGGCTCTGGCACTGGCCAGAGCACGCAGCACCCTCAGTCCTCCCAGGAGCTTCGTGAGTGGTACTTACAGCACGGGGGTGGGGGGGGTAGCCTTAGCTGCACGTACGTCATCCGCACTGGTCGCCGCAAGGGACAGACGTGCGGGAGGGCGCACACTGCGCAGCGCTGCTTCTCTCGCCTAGATGACGCTTGGCGTGCTCAGTTTCCTGACGCTCCTGAGCTCCCTCAGTGGGCTGATCTCCTCAAGAACGATATCGATATCTATGCTCTTGATTTTGATGTTATTCTCAAAGCCATGTATGCATTGACTATTAGTGGGGAGGAGGACCAGTACCTGTGTGTTCCGCCTGACCCAGGCATCCGCAGGAGTGAGGCTGCCGCCCTAGGTGCTTGCGTGTCTGCTGCCCCAGGTGCTGGTGAGGCTACTGCTCTAGGTGATTGTGTGTCCGCCACCCCAGGTACTACTGAGTCCACTGAGGCACTGCACACCTTCACTCTAGACTCAGGCGCTTCGCGCTGTTTCTTTCATGACCGCACTGCTCTTGAGCCCCTTGCTCGACCAGTCGCTGTCTCGCTCGCTGACCCCTCTGGGGGTCCGGTCATTGCGACCTCCTCCACTGTCCTTCCTTGTCCTGCTGTCCCGTCAGGCACACTGTCAGGTCTCCACCTCCCCTCGTTCTCTACGAACTTGGTGGCGGGTTGTGCGCTTCAGGATGGGGGTGTTCACCAGTTCACCCCTGCCTACGAGCGCGTGACACACTGCACGTGTGCTCGGACGGGCCGTCACCTGGCTACCTTCACTCGGCAGCTAAAGTCGGACCTGTACACACTGACCACTGAGTCCCCTCAGGTAGCGGCGTCTGCGTCTGCGTCAGGTCAGCTGTCAGCCCCCTGCTCGTGTCGCTCTCTGGCGCACAAGACAGTCCTCTGGCACCATCGACTTGGTCACCCGTCAGTGCAGCGCCTTCGGGGCATGCACGCCTGGTACCTTGTCTCTGGTCTTCCTCGGGTACTCCCTCCCCTCCCACCCTCCCTTGCTCCTCCTTGTCTTCCCTGTGTCGAGGGGCGGCAGCGCGCTGCCCCTCACTCCTCCTCGTTCCCCCCGACGACTGCTCCTTTGCAGACGCTCCACATGGACGTGTGGGGCCCAGCCCGCGTCCGTGGTCAGGGCCAGGAGAGGTACTTCTTGATCGTCGTTGACGACTACTCGCGCTACACCACGGTCTTCCCCTTGCGCACCAAGGGTGAAGTCCCTGATGTTCTGATCCCTTGGATCAGCAGAGCACGTCTTCAGCTGCGAGAGCGTTTTCGCTCGGAGTTTCCTGTCCTGCGCTTGCACTCTGACAGAGGTGGTGAGTTCTCCTCCGACCTCTTGGCAGCCTACTGTGCCGAGCACGGCATTCGCCAGTCGTTCACGCTTCCGGCCTCTCCACAGCAGAATGGGGTTGCTGAGCGCCGCATTGGCTTGGTCATGGAGGTCGCTCGTACCTCCTTAGTCCACGCGGCTGCCCCCCACTTTCTGTGGCCGTTTGTGGTCCGGTATGCTGCGCATCAGCTCAACCTCTGGCCCCTTGTCTCCGCTCCGGAGACCTCGCCCACACTACTGTGGACGGGGGAGGTTGGCGATGCGTCACGCTTCCGTGTCTGGGGATCCCGAGCTTTTGTTCGCGACACGTCTGCGGACAAGCTCTCCTCCCGCACTGCTCCGTGTGTCTTTCTTGGCTTTGTCCCGGATGCGTCTGGCTGGCAGTTTTACCACCCCGCCTCGCACCGCGTCTTCCCCTCTCAGGACGTCACTTTTGACGAGTCCGTGCCCTTCTACCGCCTCTTCCCCTACCGCACTGCCCCGCTCCCTCCCCCGCCTCTCTTCCTCGCGCCAGGTGCTGCAGTGGTAGACCCCCTCCCCCCTCAGGGTGCCGCTCCTTCAGGTGTCTCCCAGGTAGACCCGGTTGAGCCTGCCGAGGTAGCTGTCGACTCGCGTCTGGCTAGGGGTTCTGAGCCTGAGCGTGCGGAGCCTGGGGGTGCTGAGTCTGGGGGTGCTGAGCCTGGGGTTGCCGAATCTGGGGGTGCTGAGCCTGGGGTTACTGAGTCTGGGGGTGCTGAGCCTGGAGTTGCTGAGTCTGGGGGTACTGCAGCTGACTGTGAGACGCCTGGAGGAGCTCCCTCTTCGCAGCAGCTGCGTGAGTGGTACTCGCGGTACTGCAGCCTTCGGCGGGGTGCGTCTCGGGCTCGCGATGCTGCTGGAGTTGGTGCTCATGTTTCCCCACCGCGGCGGGAGCCGCCCTCTTCCCCACAGCTCCGGGAGTGGTACGCTCGGCACATCAGTCTTCGTAGTGGGATTGCTGGTGCTGGGGTCCCCGATGTTGACACTACTACTGGTACTGCGGACCCTGGAGCTGGAGGTGCTGCTGCTGCTGGCGGTACTGCTGGAGGTGCTGTTACTGCTCGCGGTGCTGCTGGTGCTGCTGGAGGTGAGGCTGGTGCTGAGGACCCGGGCGTTGGAGCTGCTGCGGGTGCTGCTGACCCTGGTCCAGGAGGTGCTGCTGCTGCTGGCGGTACTGCTGGTGCTGCTGGAGGTGCTGCTGGAGGTGCTGCTGTTGGTGCTGAGGACCCTGCCGCTGGTGACGCTGCTGGTTCGGGAGTTGCTGCACGGCCTCGGCCGTACTTCGTTCCACTCCTTCAGCAGGTTCTTGGTCAGCCTCCTCCTCCCGCCTTAGAGTGTCCGCCGTCTGTCCAGTCACAGCCACACTTACCGCCTGCCTCCCCTCTCCCTGTGCCTGCTCCTTACACTGGTCCGATTGGAGGTCTTGCTGAGCGTCGTGAGCCTGCGTCACGTCCTGTGTCGCCTGCGTCTCGTCGAGCGTCGCCTGTTCGTGCCCAGCGTCAGCGTCCTCCTGCTGTCCCAGGCACTCACCAGATGGCACTTCGTCAGTCCACTGCTCCACAGCGTGTCTCTCTCCCGTCGCCTCCTGCGTCCTCTCTTCCTGCTCTTGCTGACCCGGTGTCCGACTCCCTTCGCGCTGCCAGTCCTACTGTCACACGTCTCCTAGCTACGGTTGTCACTAACCCTTCCTTTGAGTCCGCTGCTGCGTCTGCCTTAGTTGCTGAGCTGGTCGACTTTGCAGCTGCGTGTCGTTTAGACTACGCTGCCAGTCTTGTTGCTGAGTCTGAGTCTGTCTGTCCTCTGTTTGTCGGGGGTGACTTTGCCCTTGGCACTGACGTCTTTGAGGACAGGCAGGAGGAGTTTGGATGCCTTGCTGCTGCTTTGCCCCATCTCGTGTCCATGCTTCTTGCCCCTGAGGGAGACCCGGATGCACCAGACATCCCGACCCCACGCTCTTACGCAGAGGCGATGGCCGGTCCCTACTCCTCTCAGTGGCAGACAGCCATGGACGCAGAGATGGCTTCCTAGAATTCCACAGGCACCTACGTCGACGAGGTTCCCCCACCTGGGGCGAACATCGTCAGTGGCATGTGGATTTTCAGGGTGAAGCGGCCACCGGGCTCTCCGCCTGTCTTCAAGGCGCGTTAAGTTGCGCGAGGCTTCAGTCAGCGGCAAGGAGTTGACTTCTTCCAGACCTTCTCCCCGACCCCGAAGATGACCACTCTTCGGGTTCTACTACACGTCGCTGCTCAGCGTGACTACGAGCTCCACTCGCTTGACTTCAGCACAGCTTTCTTGCAGGGCAGCCTGCACGAGGAGATCTGGCTGCGCCGCCCACCTGGCTTCACTGGGTCGTTCCCTCCTGGTACCCAGTGGAGCCTCCGGCGGCCAGTCTACAGTCTCCGCCAGGCGCCACGTGAGTGGCACGACACACTGAGGACTACTCTTGCGGCTCTTGGGTTCGCTCCTTCTACTGCTGACCCGTCGCTGTTTCTACGCACCGACACCTCACTGCCGCCGTTCTACATCCTCGTGTACATCCACGACTTGGTCTTTGCCACTTCTGACACAGCTGGTCTCGCTCACGTGAAGTCCGAGCTGCAGAAGAGACCCACGTGCACAGACCTTGGTGAACTGACAAGCTATCTTGGCTTGCGGATCACCCGGGACAGAGCACGCCGCACCATTACTCTGACTCAGTCACACATGGTGCAGCAGGTCCTTCAGCGCTTCGGCTTCACGTACTCCTCGCCTCAGTCCACTCCTCTGTCTACGGGACACTCGCTCTCAGCTCTGCCTTTGGATGAGTCCGTAGAGCCGAGTGGTCCGTATCCAGAGCTTGTGGGCTGCCTCATGTACCTGATGACCTGCACGCGACCTGACCTTGCATACCCTCTCAGCATCTTAGCACGCTATGTCGCTCCCGGCCGTCACCGGAAGGAGCACATGGATGCAGCTAAGAGGGTGTTGCGCTACTTGTGCAGTACGTCGGGCATGGGGCTAGTGCTTGGAGGGCGAGACCGGCCTGTTCTCACTGGGCACTCAGACGCTTCTTGGGCAGACGACCAGGCTACTCAGCGGTCGTCACAGGGTTACACCTTCAGCCTTGGCTCTGGCTCTGTCTCTTGGCGTTCTACTCGCTCTTCTTCTGTTCTCAGCTCTAGCTGTGAGGCTGAGATCTACGCCACGGCCATGGCTGCCCAGGAGCTTCGCTGGCTCACCTACCTGCTGACGGACCTTGGAGAGCAGCCTCGTTCTCCTCCAGTGCTGTACGTCGACAACAAGGCAACCATTGCCTTTTGTGACGAGCACAGACTGGAGCACAGGACGAAGCACATTGCTCTGCGTTACTTTCTAGCTCGAGAGCTACAGCAGCGTGGTCAGCTTCTTCTGCGTTACGTGGCCACTGAGGCCAACACTGCTGATGTGTTCACCAAGGCGCTTCCGCCTGTTGACCATCAGCGCTTTTGCACTCTTCTAGGCCTTGTGCCGACTGGACCTCACTTGCTTACTTCTTGACTTTGTCTGTACTGTGATCACTATATATATATATACCTGCATGTTTACTCTTGCTAGGTTGTGATCATTGTACTTCTTGCTCTATTATAAATCTGCATGTGAACTGGTCTTGTGACCGCTTGCTTGTGCTCGGAATTTGTGTGGAATCCTCGAGATCCACCCTGAGCTTGTTTGCCTTGTTTTACCTTGACTGGTCTTGTGACCCCTAGGTCTGCCCCACTTTGCCTATGGGGGTGTGTCAAACATTATATGTTTATGTGGTTCTAGGCTGTAGTGGGTTACACCTTAGGGGGTACACCAGATTAGGGTTTCATATTTGTACTCTTGTTCCTGCTAGTCACATCATTCTAGCATGTTTACTCTTGCTAGGTTGATCTGATGCGCCGCGTACCTCACCGCAAACGGCCACAGAAAATGGGGAGCAGCCGCATGCATCCTAGACGTACGAGCGACGTCCATGACCATGCCAATGCGGCGCTCAGCAATCCCATTTTACTGCGGGGAGTCCGGAAGCGTGAAGGTCTGACGGATTCCTCGTGCGCGACAGTAGGCTCTCAGAAGGCCAGACAAAAACTCTCCGCCTCTGTCCGAGTGCAGACGCAGAACAGGAAAGTCGGAGCCAAAGCTCTGCGTGAGCTGGAGACGAGCTGCGCGGATCCAGTCGATCAGCACCTCAGTGACATCACCCTTGCTGCGCAAGGGGAAGACTGCGGTGTAACGCGAGTAGTCGTTGACAACGAGCAGGAAGTAGCGCTCGTGACACTGTCCACGGACGCGGGTTGGGCCCCACACGTCCATGTGAAGCGTCTGCAACGGGGCCTCTGTCGGAGGAAACTGGGAGGAGTGAGGGGCAGCCCGCTGGCGCCCCTCGACACAGGGGACACAGGTAGGGCCAAGGCCCTGAGGAAGGGGAGGGAGGGACCAAGGGAGACCAGAAACAAGAAGACGGGAGGCCATGCCTCTGAGCCGAAGCAGAGAGGGGTGACCAAGGCGGTGGTGCAAGAGGAGAGTCTCGTGATACAGGAGACGACACGAACAGGGGGCAGACTCAGGACCAGACCTGGACACTGCAGCAAACACCTGACCCGACGTAGTGACCCTACCAGACTCAACAGCTGGAGGAGACGCAGTGGTCAGTGTGTACAGGCTCGACCCCGGCCGACGGGTAAACGTAGCCAGGTGTCGGCCTGTGCTAGCCTCTGTGCAGTGGGTCACCCGCTGACGCGCAGGAGTGAACTGGTGTACTCCCCCATCCTGTAGGTCAGCACCACTCACCAGGTTCGTAAAGAACGAGGGGAGGTAAGAACCAGACAGGGTGCCAGAGGGAGCCGCCGGACACGGGAGGACCGTGGAGAAGTGAGACAGGACAAGACCACCAGAGGGGTCAGCCAGAGACACCGCAACCGGCCGACTAAGCGGCGTGAGTGTGGTGCGGTCCCAAAAGAAGGAGCGAGAAGCCCCTGAGTCAAGTGTGAAGGTGAGGGAGGCCGAGGCCGACGTAGTACCTGAGAGCGCAGACTCACCAGTACCTGAGGACGCAGACGCACTAGCACCTAGAGTAGCAGCGTCGCAAGCACCGAGGGCAGCCGCCTCACCAGTACCTAGAGCAGCAGTCTCAATGCCCGGATCGGGCGGGAAATACTAGTAACAGTCACCCTCATCACTAATAGACACAGCATACATGGCAGAAAGAATAGCATCAAAATCAAGATCATAGATGGCAACACCCGCCCTAGACAGCTCGCCCTAGCGAGGGATCTCGGAGGCCTCCAGGAACTAGTGACGCCACGCGTCCGTCAGGCAGCCAAAACAGCGCTGGGTGGGGTGTGCACCCCCACACTGCTCACTCGCACGGTCGCCGGTGCGCAGGACGTAGGTGCACGGACCAAAACCCCCACCCCGCTGGCGTGCAGTGTACCACTCACGGAGCTGCTGAGGGGACAGGGTCTCACAACCGCGCTGCTGCTGCTGGCGCGGACCACCACCGGAGCCACTCCTCTGCGTAGACTCGCGACCAGCTCCACCGCCACCCCCGCCGCCTCCGCCACCTCCGCTACTACCGCCGCCTCCGCCGCCTCCTCCACCGCCGCCACCTCCGCCACCTCCGCTCCCACCGCCACCTCCGCCACCTCCGCTCCCACTGCCACCGCCGCCGCCGCCTCCGCCTCCACTGCCGCCACCGACACCTCCACCCCCACCACCACTCCCACCTCCACCCCCACTCCCCCCGCCGCCTCCACCTCCACCTCCACCTCCACCGCCCCCGCTCGCCCCTCCAGTGCCCCTGCCCCCCTTGCCCTTGCCAGAGCGGCGTCTCCCGCTAGGGGCAGACGCAGCACCGACCGACTCAAGACCAAGGAGGTCGGCCGGAGCAGCAGAGGCAACAGAGGGCAGTAGGGGGGAGGGGGAACACCCCTCAAAGATGGGGGTGCGCGGGTCACCACGAGAGGCCCCTACAGCGACTATGCTCTTCTCGGCCGCTAGGAGGGACTTCTCGAGGAGGTCAACAGTGAGAGTGGTGGGACAGAGTGAGAGGAAGTGGTCCCTGACTACGCGAAGGGAGTCAGGGAGGCGAGTGACTAAGTAGTAGAGAATGATGTACACGGGGGGGGGGGTTCTTGGCGCAGATTCAGCAGGAAGCGCAGCGCGGTAGCGAGTGTCACTAGTGTGGAGGTGCGTAATGAGGTCAGCGACTGTGGGAAAGGCAGCAAGGTCAGGGAAGAGGTACGGTAGCATGAGACGGCTCAGTGCAGCAGTGGCAGAGGAGGAGTAGCGCGCAACTACAGCGTCGTACAAGGTCTGAGCACTCTTGTACTGACTAAAGTGTGCGCGCTCGGAGGTAGGCAGGTGGCGACGCACAGCAAGACGTGCAGCAGCATCGCGCGTGGCCCACTGGGAGCGAACAGTGGCGTCAGCGTCAGCAGCAGGGGCAGGGGAGGCGCCAAAGGTGAGGTCAAAGAGGGAGAGACCGTTTGCCCTATCGCACTGGAGGAAAAGCTGCAGGTCATCTACCCAGACCTCAAAGTCAATGGCCCGACCCTCAGCGTCAAAAGCGAGAACACTGGGGGTAGCCATGACAGCAGTAGACTAGCAGCACTAACTGTAGGACAGGGGCACTGCAGTGACAGAAGCGCTGCTCTCACCAGACAGGGCGGTTCGGGCAGCTTAGCAGCACAGCAGCTCGGCAACACCGCGGCTCGGGCGACTCGGACGGCTCAGTAGCAACTGCGGCTCTGCGGCACCAGCGGCTCAGCTCCTCAGCGGCTCAGGCGGCTCGGGCGGCTCGGGCGGCTTGGGCGGCTCGGGCGTCTTGGGCGGCTCGGGCGGAACAGGCGGCTCGGTGACGTAGGGCGGCAGGGCCGCAGGTAGGGCGGCAGGGCCACTGGGAGGGCGGCGGGGCCGCGAGGTAGGTGGCGGAGCCGCAGCGGGAGGGGCGGCTGGGCCGAAGCGAGGGGTGGCAGGGCCGCAAGGTAGGCGGCGGGGCCGCAGCGAGAGGGGCGGCGGGGCCGCAGCGAGAGGGGCGGCGGGGCCGCAGCGAGAGAGGCGGCGGGGCCGCAGAGAAGGGCGGCGGGGCCGCACAAAAGGGCGGCGGGGCCGCAGCGAAGGGCGTCAGGGCCGCAGCGAAGGGCGGCGAGGCCACAGTGAAGGGCGGCGGGGCCGCAGCGAAGGGCGGCGGGGCCGCAGCGAAGGGCGTCGGGGCCGCAGCGAAGGGCGGCGGGGCCGCAGAGAAGGGCGGCGGGGGCCGCAGAGAAGGGCGGCGGGGCCGCAGCGAAGGGCGTCGGGGCCGCAGCGAAGGGCGGCGGGGCCGCAGTGAAGGGCGGCGGGGCCGCAGCGAAGGGCAGCGGGGCCGGGACAGGGCGGCTCCTGGGCCGTAGGGCTAGGCGACGGGGCCGTAGGGCTAGGCGACGGGGCCGCTAGGGTGATGAGGCCGCCAGGGCGACGGGGCCGTTAGGGCGACGGGGCCGCGAGGGCGGCGCGACACAGTCGCTAGGGCGGCTCGACGGGATGAGAGAGAGGAGCGCGACTCGGGCTGAGCGCGCTCCGGGCAGAAAAAAAAGTTTCGACTTGGTGGACCCTAGGCACAGTTCCCACAAGGGAACCTGCCCAATACCATGAGAAAACTGAAACGAGAATGAATGAACTATGAATGAACTGAGTACAAGTACTAACTCTAATTGGGTTGTACCCCTTATGGGCTACCCCACTATAGCCTACACAATATGCACAAGCTATATGTTCTGACAGATTTAATCAAGCGTTTCGAGCCGATTAATACGACCTACATTGCGCGGCAGCAGATACACCGACACAAACAATACGGTAGTGTAGCACAGTACACGCAGCAGATGGAGCTACTGTTCAACCGCATCACCGACCTGACCGAAGGCGAAAAAATCCAGGCGTACACAGAAGGGTTAAAAATAGAGATTCGACGGCAGGTGATCGCGGCGAATTACGACAGCTATAGAGACATCGTGCGTGTTGCCGAGCGATACGATGCGCTGACTCGAGGTCAACCCGAAACACGACGTGTCACGCTGAACCGTACATTCGGCACGGAGCGATCGGCACCCCCCACGTTCGCCGAACCGATGGATATCGACAAGTTTGACGCGAAGCATCAGTCGGCGAAATGTGAATTTTGCGGCGCAGCAGGGCATCAAATCTTGTCGTGCTACAAAATGAAGAAAGCACGTGCGGCACTCCGGGACAGTAACAGTGGAGCACCCCCGAAGTAAAAAAACGGAAATCGCCAGTAGCCGCGGATCGACCTGGCGATCGCGTAAAGATCCGAAAAGCAGGAAAAGGCGACGACGTGGCGACTTCGGAGCGGGTGAAAAAAGGAGAAAATGATGGCGCGAATCTAAAACGTCACAACCAGCCGGCATCAGGGGAAATCGCCGAGGCGAATGGAGGCTCCGCAAAAAAAGACTCTGCACCGACCGGGAAACTCCAGCCGAACACCCACGAAAGTAAGAATTCGTTAATGTCAAATTATAATGTTGTGTAGGCTATAGTGGGGTAGCCTATATGGGGTACACATTTCTAGGGTTGCATATTTGTATCACTTTCGTTCCTTAGTCAATCATTCTCGTTTCAGTTTTCTCATGGTATCGAGCAGGTTCCCTAGTGGGAACTGTGCCTAGGGCCCACCACATCGATTTTTTTTTTTCCTGCCCGGAGCGCGCTCAGCCCGAGTCGCGCTCCTCTCTCTTACTGCGTCGCGCCGACCTAGCATCCCCGTCGCCCTAGCGGCCCCGTCGCCCTGGCGGCCCCATCGTCCTAGCGGCCCCGTCGCCTAGCCCTACGGCCACGTCGCCTCGCCCTACGGCCCCGGCGCCGCCCTGTCCCGGCCCCGCCGCCCTTCGTTGCGGCCCCGTCACCCTTCGCTGCGGCCCTGCCGCCCTTCACTGCGGCCCCGCCGCCCTTCGCTGCGGCCCCGCCGCCCTTCGCTGCGGCCCTGCCGCCCTTCACTGCGGCCCCGCCGCCCTTCGCTGCGGCCCCGCCGCCCTTTGCTGCGGCCCCGCCGCCCTTCGCTGCGGCCCCGCCGCCCTTCTCTGCGGCCCCGCCGCCCTTTGCTACGGCCCCGCCGCCCCTCTCGCTGCGGCCCCGCCGCCTACCTTGCGGCTCTGCCGCCCTTCGCTGCGGCCCCGCCGCCCCTCTCGCTGCGGCCCCGCCGCCTACCCTGCAGCTCTGCCGCCCTTCGCTGCGGCCCCGCTGCCCCTCTCGCTACGGCCCCACCGCCCCTCTCGCTGCGGCCCCACCGCCTACCTTGCGGCCCCGCCGCCATTCGCTGCGGCCCCGCCGCCCTTCGCTGCGGCCCCGCCGCCCTTCGCTGCGGCCCTGCCGCCCTACCGAGCCACCCGAGCCACCCGAGCCACCCAAGCCGTTCGAGCCGTCCGTTCCGCCCAAGCCGCCCGAGCCGCCCGAACCGCCCGAGCCGCCCGAGCCGCCCGAGCCGCCTGAGCCGCAGAGGAGCCGAGCCGCTGGTGCCGCCAAGCCGCAGTTGCTGCTGAGCCGCCCGAGTCGCCCGAGCCGCCGTGTTGACGTCCGGCTGTGCTGCCGAGCTGCCCGAACCGCCCTGTCTGGTGAGAGCAGCGCTTCTGTCACTGCACTGCCCCTGTCCTACAGTTAGCACTGCTAGCCTACTGCTATCATGGCCACCCCCAGTGTTCTCGCCTTTGACGCTGAGGGTCGGGCCATTGACTTTGAGGTCTGGGTAGATGACCTGCAGCTTTTCCTACAGTGCGATAGGGCAGACGGTCTCTCCCTCTTTGACCTCAACTCTGGTGCCTCCCCTGCCCCTGCTGCCGATGCCGACGCCACTGTTCGCTCCCAGTGGGCCACTCGCAATGCTGCTGCACATCTTGCTGTGCGTCGCCACCTGCCTACCACTGAGCGCGCACACTTTAGTCAGTACAAGAGTGCTCAGACCTTGTACGACGCCGTAGTTGCGCGCTACTCTTCCCCTGCCACTGCTGCACTGAGCCACCTCATGCTGCCATACCTCTTCCCTGACCTTGCTGCCTTTCCCACAGTCGCTGACCTCATTACGCACCTCCGCACTAGTGACACTCGCTACCGCGTTGCGCTTCCTGCTGAGTTCTGCGCCAAGAACCCCGCCCCCATGTACATCACTCTCTATTACATAGTCACCCGCCTCCCTGACTCCCTTCGTGTAGTCAGGGACCACTTCCTCTCGGTCTCTCCCACCACTCTCACTGTTGACCTCCTAGAGAAGGCCCTCCTAGCAGCAAAGAAGAGCATAGTCGCTGTAGGAGCCTCTCGTGGTGACCCTCGCACCCCCATCTTTGAGGGGTGTTCCCCTTCCCCCCTTTTGCCCTTTCTCGCCTCTGTTGCTGCGGCCGACCTTGTTGGTCTTGAGCTGGTCGGTGCGGCGTCTGCCCCTAGCAGGAGACGCCGCTCTGGCAAGGGCAAAGGGGGCAAGGGCTCGGGTGGAGCTAGGGGGGGTGGCAGAGGTGGCGGTGGAGGCGGCAGAGGGAGTGGGGGTGGCGGTGGGAGTGGTGGCGGGGGTGGAGGTGTCGGTGGCAGCAGTGGAGGCGGAGGCGGCAGAGGCGGTAGCTGTGGGAGCGGAGGCGGCGGTGGTGGCGGAGGTGGAGGAGGCGGTGGTGGAGGAGGTGGAGCTGGTCGGGGTGGCGCTTCGCAGCAGAGCGGCTCCGGTGGTGGTCAGTGCCAGCAGCAGCTGCAGCAGCGTTCTCGGGACATCCCCCCCCCTTAGCAGCTCCGTGAGTGGTACGCGGCGCGTCTGCGTGGTGGGGGTTTTGGTCCGTGCATCCACGTCCTTCGCACCGCCGACCGTGCGGGTGAGCACTCTGGGGGTGCCCACTCCACCCAGCGCTGCTTTGGCCGTCTGACGGACGCTTGGCGTCACCAATTCCCGGAGGCCGCTAAGATCCCCCGCTGGGGAGAGCTGTCTAGGGCAGGTGTAGCTATCTTTGATCTTGACTTTGATGCTATTCTTGCTGCCATGTATGCTGTGACTTATAGTGACGAGGGTGACTGTTACCGGTGTTTCCCGCCCGATCCGGGCATTAAGACTGCTGCTCTAGGTACTGGTGAGGCTGCTGCTCTAGGTGCTAGTGCGGCTGTTGCTCTAGGTGCCAGTGCGTCTGCGTCCTCAGGTACTGGTGAGTCTGCGCTCTCAGGTACCGCGTCAGCTTCGGCCTCCCTCACCTTCACACTTGACTCAGGGGCTTCTCGCTCCTTCTTTCGAGACCGCACCACACTCACGCCGCTTGGTCGGCCGGTTGCAGTCTCCCTGGCAGACGCCTCTGGGGGTCCTGTCCTCTCTCACTTCTCCACTGTCCTCCCGTGTCCGGCTGCCCCCTCTGGCACCTTGTCTGGTCTTTACCTCCCCTCGTTCTCTACGAACTTGGTGAGTGGTGCTGACCTACAGGATGCGGGGGTTCACCAGTTTACTCCTGTGACTCAGCAGGTGACCCACTGCTCGGACGCTCGCACAGGCCGGCACCTGGCCACGTTTACGCGTCGGCCCGGGTCGAGCCTCTACACCCTGACCACTGAGTCTCCTCCTGTCCCTGCGTCTGGTCAGG